CGATACTATAACAAAGAAAAACGTACGTATGAGAAATTTGAACAGGGAAAACTTTAGTTAGTATACAATAGTTGGGTATGGTGGCACTGCGTTCCACTTTACCCAATACTTGTGAATTTGACACTTTACAAAACGTTAACGTATATTTTACAACATGAACGCAACAAAACTAATTTAACCTTAATATTTACAAAGCCGCCCACCATTCACTAACGAACTCACTAATGTAAAAATAAACGTTCTCACTATCGTTCTCACTAACGAACTTCACTAATGTTCTCATAAATTTTCCTCAATATCTTCATCATCCGTGTTAACCCTATTGTAGTCATACTTGAAGCCATAAACTTTCTCTAACTTCTTAACGTACAATTTACATAACTTTCCTTCGTCATCATATGGTTTAATGATATAACTATTTCTATCTTTATATAAAGTCATGAAAGTCAACTGGTCTCGGATGTATTTGAAAGAAACATGTTATGCTCAGGAAGGAGGAGAATAAATGTTTAAATGTATGTTTGTTATATGTTTTGATTTGTATGAGTTGCTTTTGTTCTGTCATTCATCCAAATAAAATAAAAATAATAAAAAATAAACTTAAAAATTAATGATATCACCACCCGCACACGTATGAAAACAATGCACAAAAATAAATTTAGGGTAGAAGGTTAGATCTAACCGATATCTAACCTCTTTTCTAACCTGTTGAATTCATTGCTTTATAACTCTCTTCCTTTCTCCAACTCTTCTAACTTCTTCCTAAGTTCAGCAATGTTGTCCTCATGAAGTTTAATCTTTCTCAAAATTCCTTCTTTATCTAATGGTTGCTTTTATCTTTCTTAAACTGAACTCTACATCCTTCATAGTATGAACGTAAAACCTTCTGAATAATTCCTGATTTAATGTATTCTACCAAAAACTTTTTTTCATTGCTTCAGTGACTTTAGTCGTCATTTCAATCAAATAAAATGTTCAAATAAAAATAAAAATAACGTTATTTTTTCAGTAAGGAAACGCAGGAGTTTTTACGATTTATTTGAGGAGTAGGTTCTGGTTTAAATGTTGGAGTCGGTTTAGGAGTTGACTTTTGAACAGGAGTTGTACTTCCATAGGTTCAGGAGTTATTGAAGGTTTTGCTTGTGAAGGCGTTGGTTTTGGCGAAGGTGTTGGAGTTTGTTTAACTTCAGTACTTCAGTATTATTTATAACATTTGCTTTATTTCTTTTCAACATCATTACTGCTCCTGCTGTAGCTAGCAAACCTAGTGGGAGACCATATTTTATATAAGGACCTGACCAAATGCTATTTTTGACAGGAGCTGGTGGAACACCTAACCTTGGTGAGACTGTTCTTTGCCATTGTGCAGCTCGTAAGAAAATATTCAATAGGTGCTCCATAATCGTTTGGTAAAGTTTTGTTTCATAGATGGTGAAGGTTCGCGAGAGCTTGATATGAAGACTCATTTTATAAGCTTTAAAAATAAACGTTCATCCTTTATTTCTCACTGTCGTCCGTGGCTAAGTTATAGTCGTCAAGTCTTATTATTGGTATGCCTGACTGTCTTACTTGTATTGCAAAGCAACAATCCCTCATAAATCCAATAAGTGGCTTTGGTACGTTTTTCAGTTGCTAGTTCAATAGGTCCTTTAACAGACAATTTGTATGTTATTGAGCAGTAGATGTTTGACCTTGTTGGAAGCAAAAGATCCACTTCTGTTGGAAAACCACATAAGAAATGTGTGTTGTCATAGCTACCCATTTATGTTCACACTTACATCATCCACCAATGACCTCATAACATCTTCATTAAATCCTATCATATCATTGTTTGTATTGCAGCGTTCGAACCATTTCATAAAATACAGGTCCATATGATTTTTCAGGTTCTGCAGGCATATTTCCATAAGCTCCCATGGAAAGCTGAAGATATTTAAACTTAGGGTTCTCAAAATTAACATAATAGTTGTCTTTCTTTTCTAAATAGTGCCCAAATACTTTTAACATTAATAGGCGTATAAGCTGCTGTAAATGTTGCACTTGAACTATCTGTATTCTTTGAGAATGAACCGTCCATAGGAATCCAATCCATAACTTTAACAGGAAAACATTAAAGCCTCGTTTGTATAATGTTCTACAAGTTCTGTATAAATGTTAGGGTCTAAAAGAGAATGACTTTGGATGAATGAAACATTCATTAAAATCCATCTTTGTTCGAAATAGTTGCTGGGTTACAGTTGTAATAGTAACTGTCCACTAGCTTCTATTGCCTTCGTTATCATAGTGAATGGTTCATTCCATGGAACAAATTTATTTTGTCGGTGGATTTGAATCTTGAAGCAAATGCAACTTTTAAGAGTTGGATTGAAAGCAATGATATCATTTACAGATATAGATGTGCATTGTAAGGCGTCGCTACTGAAACTTTACTTTAAGCTGAATGTTTCCTGCAAAAGCTGGAATAAATCGAAATACTTCAATGGAAGGAATCTTCTAACAGGAATTCTTAAACGAAGCTTAAAATCAAATGATTTTCCTGCTGTAATTGGACCACTAACAATTTGTCTCTGTTCTGCATGTTCCCGAATGACTCCATACATCTTCATGTCGAGTCTTGAGAAAACATCTACTTTCTTTATTTGTTCGGTAGTTTGTGAGTTTGAAGTTATATATGCTTCTTCTCTTGCGTTGTCTTGAGATATACGATACGACCATTTGCAAGGATTTGATATCCAGCAACTGCATAGAAAGCGTCATCGAAACCATCCAAATCCTGGTGGGTTTGTTTTATTGGAACCTGAACCAATTTCTTTATCTGCAATAAATTGACCTTCCATTTTATCGTAATGAATGTATTTGTAAAGGTCCAAAATATTTTTCACCAGGAGGTGAGAGATTGAATGTTACCATGTGTTATCTTTAGCAGTTCCAGGTTGTGATGGAATCTTTGCGTCAGAATATTTTCTATTAGTGTCACCAATTTGAACTGCATTGTCTATGATATCGAAATATGAGCGAATTTGATGAATATGCTCTGCTGGAGTAAATTCGTTTAACTGTTCGTTCTGCATGTATTTACTTCGGATAAAAATATCTATTTACTTCATTATTCTCACTCTTCTTCTGGTATTCGTGGTGGAAGTTGTTTTCTTGACATTTTCAATGAACTGTACATTCTCTTTTGTCTCAACTTTTCACTGGCGGGGTCAGGATTTTTGACTCGGTTTGTTTTTCAATGAAATTCACGAACTTTGCAATAAGCTCTTGGTTCGTTATTGAAAGAACATCTGGCTTTCTTTTCTTCTTGTTCTATTGGTGGCTCAGTTTGAACAGAAGGTTTTATATGGGCTTCGTGGACTTCACCTTGCATGCACCTTAATGTTGTCGCTTTCTGCATTCGCTAATGGAACCTTTCTTTTCTACATATATTTTACATCTTTACTCTGACTTACATAATAGAAAGGATGTTGTATTCTCTTGCGTCATTTAATATAATAGACTCTCGCTCTGATTTTGACAAGCTCATTTTACATCGGTTAAGTTTAATTTAGTTTTTTATCTGCAGTCAAATGACTCAGACAAGCCTACGACAGG